TGAGAAATATCTACAAAATCAATTGATGCTAAATTTGGTACACACATTCATGGTTCCCAGAAGATTGTCCCAATGACTTTGGTCATCTCCAGACTTTTCTTCTATTTCCACCATGAGGTTGAATTTGTGGTTTTCAACAAGAAATATTTGCTGGATTGCCATAAAATTTGTTACAGACATTCATGATCCCCTCAGAATGAAATATAATCTTTTGGATGATCACTTAACTTTTATTCTAGTGCAATCATTTCATCAATTTAAATCCAACTGGAGAACTTTGTTGCAGCTTTCTTGTGTTTTTATTCATCCAATACCTTGGTTTCTAATGAAACACCAACAAAAATAATGGCATCCCCATTGTTGCACTTTCTGTTCAGTGCTTATTAGCAGATGTTGCTAAAATAAGATAGTGAACATTATACTTATACTGTAATTGTGAGGATGTCTGTATGCATCAGCATGTAGTTCTAACTACCAGTGTGCTGACAAGAAGTGTTACAGAGCTTCTAAAAGAGCTGTAGACTCTTTGATAAAGATATTGTCATCAAAAAGTTAATCAAAATTATTACTTTAAAAAGTATGCAGCTGAGCCATGACCTTGATTTTTTCATGCCGTCAAATCGAATGCGTCATTGAATAGAAGATATATTTTTATATCTGAATGAGGGTTTAAAATTGGGCTAGTTTGCCTTTTTATCCAGCTGAGCTAATTCTCTCAGCAGATGAATTGTTCAATGCCATATTTTTCTCAGTTGTCCTCGACTCCTCTTTCCTTAGGCATTTCAATCAGATGACACAAGGTAAGTCAAGAACAAATCGGTGATGATGCATATTTAGATGTCCTTGAATGTTTTTATGTAGATATTTCATACACATTATGAAACATAGGCGTGTGGGCGTGTGTGTGTGTGCTGGGGATAGATAGACAGTAAGAGCGTAAAAACAGGATAGATGGAGTTATTACACAATCCTTGAATCTATATGTCCTAATTGCTTTAAATTAAATTTTTTCCCCCACTGTACTTTTATGTGTTCTTTTGTTGTAGGTTACTCGCTGACCTGAGCAGCCCACTCTTTGTCCCTGAAACCATCACTCTGGACAGAAAACATATCTTGGAGGACATAGAGAGCAAGTACCGAGAGTTCATCACCTCCACCCTCCGCTGCCTCAGTGAACTCAAGAGGGAGCTCTGTGAGTCACACAGGGGGACACACACACCACCCATCCCATTTACATTTATTCATTAAATGAACAGTTCAGGGAAGTTCACTGATTCACTTTCTTGTCCAATGCTGTGACAGGATTGATACCAGCCTCGTGTACCGTTTAGCTTAGCATAAGGACCAGGAGCAGAGGGAAACAGCTAGAAGGGATTTGTTTGAATATAACAAAAATACACCCATCTGGACCTCTAAAGCTCATAATACATTATGTCTTGTTGGTTTAGTTCTGCACATGACACTTGTAAAACCTTTGGTTTTGTATGATTCAACAAACAAGATACAATGTGTAAGTTAGGGAACTTCATAAGTTATAACTGTCGGATAGAGCCATGCTCGCTGTTTCCTTTGCCAAGGTTATGTTCTCATTGCTATTTATCTTTAGCAGGATTAAGCAAAAACTCCAGAACCAATTTTCTTGAATCTTGGTTGAAGGGTGAGGTAGACCCATTAGGAACCCGATTAATTTTGGCATCGATATGGACCAAGAGTGGGACCCAGGATTTTTCTTTAACATTGCCAGATAGGGCTTATTTCTTTTACATTTTCAACGAGTTTCCTATGGAATAATTCATAGACCTTGATGATCTATGAGTGTGTGCACTTTGGTGCAGCTTGGTTGAATGAAAGGGGGCTATGCCTTTGGAGTTTTGCACTCTCCTGAATGTACTTCAAGTCTTTTCCCTGTTTGCTGTTTGCAGGATTACTTAAACTACTGAATTGATTTCATTGATACTTGGTTGAAGGGTGGGGTGTGGGCCAATAATGAACAACTCATTAACTGAATCTGATCAAGGAGTGGATCTGGATCCTGGATTTTCTTTTCCCTTTCTTGAACATGTGGAGGGTGTTGGCAGTGGTATGCGTTCTCCTCTTAACTTCATATTTAACAGATAAGTAGAAGATTAACATTGATCTTCATATCTAACTCAGCATGAAGCAATGTAGCATACATGTATTTCCAAAATTATTTTGAAGAATTAAATCATCTTTCAAATATTTATTTGTTTTGTACACTCTAATCTGACTTGATTACTACAAGTAGTCTCCACTGTGCTTTAACTAGACTGTGTTTATGGATGTCTGCATTTCAACAATATGAGGCCATTAACTGGAAATATTTCAGAGTTTTCAAATAGTAAAGAAAACTTTGCTGTTTCCAAGAGCAGTGATCAGATTATCTATTACTCACCAGAACCAGAGTTAACCAGCAAAAATGTCCACAAATGATATAATTCAAGCAACTAAACACTAACAATTTTTATTTTATTTCCCTACAGTAACCAGTCCTTTGAGTCTGGACACAAACTCTGCCCATCCTCTCTTGAGCATCTCTGATGACCTTCGCTCAGTGACGCGAGTTAAAAGCCGCCTGCCCTGTGCCACCCACCCGGAACGCTTCGACCACTGGCCACAGGTTCTCACCGTCCAGACCTTCTCCTCTGGGACTCACTATTGGGAGCTGGAGACTAAGGGATTCTGGGATATTGGCGTCTGCTATAGAAGTATTGGACGGAAGGGGAAAGATGACAACGCCTTTGGGAACAACAAGGTATATGTGCCAACATGCTGGTTTAGTTGATAGCACTTACATTATGTAAAGGTGATTTATGTCATTTTCAGCTACAGATTCATTGTTTTCCACAAACAAATATAATTAGTGGAATCCTCTAATCCCAGTTGTATTTGTAGTACTACCACATTTTTCATGAGATTCTTTTGGCATCACTTTTAAGTTTATGTTGTTTGGTTAAAGTGACTGTTTTGACAGTTTTTTCCCCTATAAACCAATAATTGGAAAGTAAGCACTTAAATTATACTTAAATTATTAAAAGTAAATGTACTTGCTGAGTGTTGCCTGTTTCCAAATGAAATGGTCTGCTCCTTCATTTACCAGAGTCTCTTCAGGTGTTCCTTCTTCACCAGTGATGCTGCTTCTGCAGGAGACAGGGTTTAATGTTACCGGCCTGCTTTGATTGGATCAATGGACCAGTTACCCTTTCATTATTGATTACTTTTAAAAATATAAAAAAACATTTGAAGATGTATCATAATGCATTGTAAAAATGGAGTGGAGTAAAGAGTGCAGATATTTGCTGATATATGTAGTGGAGTACCTGAAAATAAATCTACTTGAGTATAGTGCAGATACATGAAAAATGGACTTAAGTACTGTTAAATGGTAATTGTGCTTAGTTACATCCCACCACTGCATACAGAATTTATGAATTTAGAATCCTCTAAAGCAACCTAATATCTTTATATATTTATTTATGTTTTCATCCAATATACAGTTGTAAAGAATTCCAGTCTTTTTTCCAAGTTATGGCTGTTATACTAAGGTTTCAAAGTTTACATGACGCCGATGATGATGAAATACTAGATGTGGCCCCTTTAAATATGATCACAGAGTATCTATGTCTATTTGACGCTTTAGATTTTAGGTTAAATGATCCGTCATTAAATTACCTGTGTCAAACCTGCAGGTATCATGGAGCTTGACACAGCAGCATGACAAGAAGCTGGCCGCCTGGCACAACCGCAGAAAGACCCGCCTATCGCACCAAATGACCACCAACCGAGTCGCCGTGGCTGTGGACTACGGCGCAGGAACCATCACATTCTCTGAAGTGGGACTATCCAGCCACCTGACGCACCTCCACACATTCTCCACCCTGTTCACTCAGCCCGTGTGCTTGGGCTTTGGACTCTACAAAGCGGAGCTCAACAGCTGCATCTCTATCGTCAAAGTCTGAAATAAAGGAGAGGCAAAGGAGGCCTGAGCGAAATACTGCTGGCACCTGCACTGGTTTGATGTAGATAAACACACTACAAGACAATTTAGTGTTGATTCATTCCCTAAGAAACACAGGATTCTGCACTGTACTCTGAACTTTTGCCAACTGGTCTTCCAGTAGCATTTCACTCTAAACGGTGGTCAGGCGATTCTGACATGGAAATATTTTCCAAAAGAGAAGAGTGAGAATGTTAGTAAGTGGGAGAGAAAATAAAGACTCATGTGAAAAAGGACAGAAATAGATTTTCATATCAAGACTGCAAGGTTATTATGTGCTTTTCATTCCTTAGTGATTTAAAAAAGCAAGTGACTGGCTACTAATAATACACTAATACTGCCAGTTCATTGGATACACCTCAATAAAACACATGCAGTCAAATACAACAGCCCTTTAATAAACCCTACAGTTGGACTGTTCCTGTATTTGTTGAACGAAATTTAATTTAACTTCATGTTCATTTTGAAGGCTCTCCTTCATGGTGCTGTTGAATTGTAATGCATCAGGAGGTGTTTCTAATATTTAGTCAACCTTCATTGATATAAATGGGGGAAAAATGACATGTGAGAATTCCTGTTCTGCTGCGGTGCACGGGCCTACCTCTGTTTGACTGAAAACTTACATTCGATGTATTCTGTTCATTTGGTGAATTCATGTCTAGCTGTGCCTATACATTCCTCACCAGGCTGTTGAACAATGTATAATCCAGCCTTATATCTGCTATAGATAATTAAAATAGTTCCCCTCGAGGTATAAACATTTTTATTTACACCACGGTGCACGAGCAACATTGATTCTTTTTAACTCAGTGTGAAGACATAGAGGAAGGAACCCCTTGATTTGTAAAAAACTGCCAGTCACTCACCAACTGTACACTTGGAAGCGTCTCTGATGCCAATATTATCACGCCATTTTCTTTATTTCACTAAAGGTGAGTGGGTGGATGAAACATAGAGGGAGAGAGAGAAGCAGGCGGAAAGGGGGGCTGCTTGGAGAGAGAGAGAAAGAGAGAGAGAGAGACGCACCTTGAGAGATAGAGGGAGCAGAGCGTACTCTGGTTTGGTCTCGCTCATACTGACAGCGGAACTGTGAGAGAATATGATAGAGGAGGAAGAGAAGAAGGATTTTTGACCATTATAGTCACTCAGCTGGGAGACTTTTCACCTGATATGGAATACAAGATTGTGCAGATGGAAACAGGTGATCCTTTCTATTTCTTATTCACCTACAATTCTAGAATTGTTCAGCACAGAGCAAACGGGTCAGAGCATGTTATAGCACTTGTTTAAAGTTAATATTAGATGATAATAGATTATTTTGCATTTATAGAAATCAACCTCCAGACATTGTGTTTGTGTGTGTCTTTACGAATGAGATTTATTTAAACATGTGCTAATTTTAATCAAAGAAACGTTTGTGTTATTTAAAAATGAATCTCTCAATTATTATTTGAATCTGCTGAGGGCAAAAGTGACTCTATTCTTTAGATTTTATTCCTATGATTAAAGACAAAACAAATGAACTTTAAATAAAAGCTATTTTCTAAGTATAACTAGTGAATGTGTAGGCGTGAAACAAAAGCACAAGTGATATAGAAAAAAAAGAGTGTGTGTTGTGTGAGGCGATAGGGGGGTGTGAGGGAGGGGGGTATGTGTAAATGACAGATGGTCACTCAGTGGAGTTGTTCCCCCACTCCCTCTCTCTTTCTCACTCCCTTCTGGGTCCTGCATCCTTCTCCTGTCACCCCTCCAGAATCTTACCTCATCATGTTCTTTTTTTCTCCCCTCACTTCTCATCTCCTCAGCTGCTCTTACATCCTCCTCGCCACCATTTACAGTCTGAGCTTGGATCTTCACTCGCTGCGCCCGTACCTTATATCTCTTATATCTTCGAACATTCTCTCTTCCTGTCCCCAGACATTTCTTCTCTTCTGCCTTCTTGTCTTATTTTTTGCTGAAGAAATCAACTTGAAAATACTGTCGGTGACTGTCTCTCTGGCCCCGACTGACACAGCACATTGGGCACTCAAGAGATTTGGGATTTGTGGGGCAGACAAGAAAACCAGAGAGAAAAACAGAAAGGCTGTGATTGACAGCAATGGCCAATGAACCATTCTGAATTTCATTTGAATATCATTTCAATTTCAGATTTTGCCACCTTGATGGTGATAGTGAAAACTGCATAGAGGTTTAATCCAACCAACTCTGAAAAAACGTTTTGTTTTTCACCATAGCATGTTCGTTTTCACTTCAAATAGTCCAAAGTGACTCTTTTTCATAGCATATTTAATCAGAGATATTCAGCTGAACTGCCCAGCTTCAGTCATGCACCTCAGGTCACGCCACGTTGACCTCCTGCTACTGCTGGGTGTGCTCCTTTTGTGGGGACCTGTGGGGTCTAGGGGTCAGAATGACACAGAGCCCATCATCCTGGAGGGGAAATGCTTGGTAGTATGCGACTCCACTCCTTCATCCGAGCCGGCTGGTAATGCCCTGGGTATGTCAGTCCGGTCCGGCTCGGGGCGAGTGGCCTTCTCCGCCAGCCGCCAGACCAACCACGAGCCCACGGACATGAGCAACCGCACCATGATCATCTACTTTGATAATGTGAGTGAGTGACTATAGATTTTTGTGTGATTTCTTACAGTATGCCATTGTGCATTTAAATGATTAAATCAAAATACTTTAGACTTTGTAAAATACAAGGTTGAAAGTAGAACAGAACAACTGAATGGGATCTTTTCATGCTGAAAAAATGCAGATCACTAAGCTGTACTTCAAGTATTTTTTTTGAAAGAAGTCTGACAAAAAGGAAGAATGCATGTTGCTAGGCTGAATATCTACATTTCATTGACTTCTTGAGCTATTTCTGTAAAAGGACATGTAACAATATGTTTCAGTAGTTTGGGAGGAGTCTGACTCCTTAGACAGAAATAATGACCCAAGTGACCCTGGAGTGAGCAGGAATGTCTTGGAAGTCTTTTGACAATAGGCCCACTGTTTGTCACTCGTCTAAAGAGCTTTTTTTGTCCCCTAATACCTTGTAGTGCCGTTTACTGTTTCATGTGAATTGTCATTTATCAGATTTTGGTGAATGTCGGTACTCATTTCGACCAAGAGAGCAGTGTTTTCCTGGCACCAAGGAGAGGAGTGTACAGCTTCAACTTCCATGTTGTGAAGGCCTACAACAGACAAACTATCCAGGTACAATTCCTCACTACATATAGTTATCATTCCAGCAGATCAGCATGGACGCTCTAATCCTTTTATCTCGTCTGCTGTAGGTCAGCCTGATGTTGAACGGCTGGCCGATGATTTCAGCTTTCGCTGGGGACCAGGATGTGACCAGAGAGGCGGCCACCAACGCCGGCCTGGTGATTATGGAGAAGGGGGATAAGGCCTATCTTAGACTGGAGAGAGGCAACCTGATGGGAGGCTGGAAGTACTCCACCTTCTCTGGGTTCCTGGTCTTCCCCTTGTGAGGAAGGTGGATGGAGAGCAGGTTGAAGCTCCAGGTGGGTGATAAGAGAAGAACTGGACAGAGCAGGAAAGGGGGGAGAGATGGAACGAATGGACACAAGGAGAGAAAGAAGTAGAGAGGTTTAAATCTGTAACTCACTAAAAAGCGCATGAAAAGTGTGTTTTATGCAAAATGCAGAGATGATTGTGCAAATTAACATAATTTTCAAATGAGAAAAAAAGAGGTTTGTCTATGAATTTGATTTGCTATGATTCTGTGCATAAATACTTGATGTTATTATTTAAGAGATGTTTCCATTGTGATAAAATTATAACATAGCCATGTGCAATGTGGGCTTCTGTGCAAAGACTAGGTGAGAGCATCTCTTTTTTTATTCAACATGTTTGAAACACTGCTGTGCTCCACATGGCATCTTGTCTCGCTTACAAACCTGCCAAACGTACCTTTAATTCTGCTGTGTTGTACCACTGATGCTCCTCTATATGCCTGTTACTCTCCTGCAAAAGTTTATTTACACAGAAATTTATATTAAGAAACGTTAAAATAAAATCCTATGAAGTTCACTGAGTATTTCACTTTCAATACTTGTACTGGAATGCATTCATTGTCAGGTATTTCTTTCCACACACAAGATTCTATGAATCACTGCTACCAGCTTACATAAATAACTTTGGGTTGATTCTGTCGCATGCTATAGGTGTGACAGTTAGATCCTCTCATCCTAAAGAATATCTCTCTCCTCCCTCTTATGGTACTCGCCACGGCAGCTGTTTGTAAATATAGCTCTCACCAGCAGAGTTGGCGTTGGTGTGGACCAAGCAGAGCAGCATGGGGCAGAGTGTATGTGTGCCGTATAGCGGATATTCCTCACAGGGCAGCAGACAGATGGAGGCTTTGGCGAGCGGGCAGGCTCATCTCTGCAGGGCTGCCATAGATAAAGTGTGGGGTGCTGTCACATGCAGTCAATTACGCCTCCCTGGTTCATGACCATCACCTCCCTCTCTCTCTCTAACTCACTTTCATATACGATCCCACACTATTTGCATCATGCTTCTATGATTTCGGTATGAACCGGTGAGTATTTCTAAAAATGGAGAACAATGACATTGATTCATGATGTCACAATAATATGAGGAAGCTTTAATGGTAACAGATGGGAGACTATGTGGACATATTGTTGCACTTCTGACCATAACTTTAGTTTCTGTACAGAAAATGAGGGCTTACCTAATACTTTTAATTCCTTATAATATATTGACTTATGATAGATACATTTTATTCCATGTAAGATGAAATGCTAAATATAATATGAAACTTAAAGCTGTACATGTACATGCTGCGGTGCCCCTGATCTCACTGTACCCGCAAAAGCAACAGGATCCCAGTGCAGAAATTGGCTAATGCTAATATCATTAATCAAAGCTTAGTAGTTTGGGAATTTGCTCAACTAAAATAAAACCAGTTTATTTTATATGGGGCGTATTCCTAAATTAATTGATTTCACCATATTACCACACAGCAAACCTGTAGGAATACACATTGTGCAAAGATGCACTTTTGCTCAGATGACACCAAGAAATTCAGTCCAACTATGTTTAAAATTAAACCTAGAATCTACCAAATGGATTTTTTTTCTTCATTTGAGGTGACTCAAGACCATGATCACATGGTTGGGAGCACAAACAATGGCCAAACAAATGTTACCTGAAAAAAAGGAAGGACGTTTCTCCCGGTGAGAACGGATTTATTTAAGCATATGGTTGGTTTTGATCATTCTTAAGCAAATCAAGATTCTCTATATTTGATAATGCTTACCATCTTAAAATATGGTAATCATCTCCATTTGTCATCACAAAGGTTACTGATCTTCTGGTTTCTGAACAGCTCTTTATATTTTACAATCACCTTTGGGATTCTGCTGTTATTCATTCTAAGTAAAGCCTGCCTGTACTTTTGTTTTACACAAAACACGTACTTCTCCAGTTTAATCTCTTGTTTGAATTTGTACCTCTGAGCTCACTCTGCCACTTTGGAATGAATTGATCTTTCGGCCTCTGTTCAATAGTTTCAGCTGGTTGATGTTGCCACACTGTAGTGTGAAGTAAGACACACCACAGTGGTCCAGTAAATTGTGTGCAATCACACTTGTTTTATGCAGACTCAGCAAGTAGTTGCTGAGTATAGTTGCTTCTGCTTCCCTCGGCCTCCCCCAGTGGCCAAGAATGATTGTATAGTAATTCTACAATAATCATTCTAATTCCGATAATTCGACCTCATAATAATAATAATAACATTTCCGCCTGTGGGCACTGGAGGGCGCCAACCCCCCAATGGCAAGCACTCGTGAGAGCAGTGAAGGCATCACATTGATTCCTGTAAGAAAGCTGTCATCCATATCTCCCAGTCTTTATAATTCACACCAACCCGTCCCTCTGTGTCACATAATGTGTGTGTGTGTCTTTAGACTGCGATAAAGCAATAATAAAAGGTATCGCCATTCATTTCTTGGTGTGGACTGATGCCTGAGCTGAGGCCAGTGTCATAAAGCGCTGGTAGAAGCTGATGGTGTGGTTCTCAGACAGGTCGGATGAGTCAGAGCTGATCGAGACGGTGAGTTTTCCTCCGCTCCGCTCTGACCGGCCTGTGCGGGTCGGAACCAGCCTGCGAGGCAGCGGACCAGCGGTGGAGAACAGCCCTCAGCCAAACGATCCCAGCTAGGCCGCATTTATTGTCCTCTCAACCGAACTGCGCCTCTCATCCCGCCCAGGCGGAGGCCGTGCGCGTGACGGATGGCTGCGTCGGCCAATGAGAAGGGCGTACGCCGCCGGCTCACGAGGGAACGGACCAATCGCGGTGCGGCAGCGTCCGAGGGGCACGCGCTGTACGCTTTCTCTGGCAAGAATGTGAGTTCCTGCTCTTCCCTGGTCGTTTCCTGTAATCGCACAGTGTTGTGAGACGGAGAAAGCCATGTGTGTCGATGCAAAGGTAAATTTAGCACCCCGAAATCATTACTGCGAGACTTAGGGGAGCGGATACGACGGTTATTTTCAGGTATTTGTGCCGGAAATTAGACGCAGGCCAAGCGAAACAGCAACGCGGCCTATAACCGTGTGTGAACGTAGACGGGCAATGGTTATTGTGGCACGTTGCTTTGGTTTGGTCCGGTTTGTTGATAAGAGTCCGGTAGACTGAAAGCTCGGTAGTAAATGACAGAGAAGCGAGCTACCGACCACCAACCGACATTACACCGTGTTTATGAGGCCGAGTGTGTTTACGGTGCCGCACACGCCTATTGTAACAGGCACATCTTGGTGGCGGTGCAAGCTAATGCTAACGGACGGTTTTGTGTGTGAGAGAGAGAGAGGAGAGCACCTCAGCTCTCCAGCATCACTACCCTCCTCATCCCACCTCACCAACAACTATCTCTATCCACTCTGTGTCTCCTGGACACTAGGCTCCGTGCTGTACTATTAGAAGTGCCTGCTTTTATGGTCTTTATTCACATTTGACCGATCATGCACTTTGAAGCATTTTCAGGACGTGGTCACGAGTTCGATACTTCATCCAAAAAACAATGTATTTTATCATCCAGGTGCAGTTATTCGTTCACTGGGCTTTATGCGTCGTTTAACCATTTTGTTTAAGACTTTATATTTGTTAGATGGAGGGGTGAGGTAGAAGCTCTCAACTCAGCAGAGTTTAAGAGTCAGTCGCAGCTCTGGAGTAGAGAAATACAAGTGTGTTCACGTCCAAGTTATCAATGATCTAGTCAGTTTTTCTTCTTTATTTTGATCATCCAGAACCTGACTTCAGTTTGTGATGTTTATATGTGGCAATGAAAGTGAGAAGGGCACAATGGTCAGATGTTGCTCGATTTGTTTAAATCTTAAAGGGTCATGTTTGCCAAAACCACATCTGCTTCTTGCTCCTTTTAACAGTTTTTTGCACAAGCCATTGAATCAACTGCTTTTTTAAATGAGCTAATTATAGGTATGACAAAAACTTGGCATTTATAGTAATCAGTATGGTATTTGTTTAAATATTATCAAAGTTATGAATTTGTGCTTCATTGACAGTCTTTCTCCTCTTTTTCCAGCTGTTTACCTAAAATTAGGGAAAAATTGTCGACGACTATTCGCTTCCATCTCGGAGTCTTTTAATCACTGTGCCCGTCTCCCTGTGTGGAGTGGGCAAGATGGCAGATCCCATCATGGACCTCTTTGAGGACACTCCCTTGTTTAACTTGGATGCCCTACCGGACGACTCATTCTCTCAGGGCTCCACAGACCCTGTGGAGGAGGCCCTCAAGCTGGCGTTGGGCCAGGTGGACCCGCCGACTGAGCCGGAGTCTACTCCTGAGCTCACGGTCAGCACAGACCTCAGCGTTCCTGTAGCAGCTCCCTCCATGCCTGACCCTACCCCTATTCAAGTCCTTGCACAGCAGTCAATGCCCGGGGCAACTGCTCAGACTGTTTCCATAGCTGTGGCTCCTACCGTGGCCCCTGCCCCCGCTGACACTGTACCTCAGATCCAAACCCAGACTAACATACCCATTGCCAACACCAGCATGGCATCCAGTAGTACTGTCCTTCTGAGCTCTCCTCTGACTGTTTCCAGCTCCCAGGCCACAACCACTGCCACAACACAGCAGCTCACACAGATAACACACCAGCTCACTCCCCAGCAGTTAGCTGCCATCACACAGCAGGCCGGTGGTAAAATTGTTATTCTCAAAGGACCACAGGGTCAAGCCCAGGTGCTGCAGACTGTATCAGGTGCCACGGGTCAGACCAGTGGTAAGGTTATTCGTGTGTTGTCTGGAACTCCTCTCAAACCTGGCATGTCCATACTCCAGGGGGGAACGGTCTTGAATCAGGCAAGCCCAGGACAAGCTCAAGTCAAGGTGGGTGCTGGGGTGCAGAGGTTGCTACAGTTGCCCAACGGGCCAGTGAAACATTTGCTGCTCACTTCCATGCCCCAGCAGGTGCAGCAGACGCAAGGCCAGCAGGTTCAAGTGCAGATCCCAGCCCAAGCACAGATGGCTCAAGGCCAGACTCAAGTCCAAGTTCAGACTCAGGGCCAGGTGCAGCTCCAGCCAGCCATGCAGGCCCAAACGCAGGTAAGCACCACCTCTTCTGACTCTTCACACCACAAGGAATTTCTGCGTGGTTTTATGATTTACTTCAAGGATTTTGAGTGAATTTCATATGCTGTATATTGAGGTCAGTCTATGACTTTCAAGCTGATTCTCATCCTCAATGTGATTCTAGGGAGGTGAACCAAAACGGATCACATTGGTTCTCCAGCAGTCTTCCCAGGCTGGCTCTGCTGCAGGAGTGGGTCAAACCATCACAGCCCAGCAGCAGGTTGCACAGGTTCAAACAGCTCAAGGTGGGCAACAGCAGCAGGCCCAGGTCCCAACAAGATTAGTTTTGGGTCAGCTCCCTGGAGGCAAACTGGTACTCCAGGGAAGCCAGCTAGCTGCCCTGACCCAGGCTCGAGCTGGAGGTCAGGCGGGAGGGCAGCCCAAAGTCCTTACA